GGTTATGGTAGGAATTCTCCCCAGGGAGTGGAGACGGTGCACACTGTGTGCATAGATGAATCCGATGACAGGGATCTGTAAAGAATTTAGGGAGGGTATTCCGTATTAACCGCTAAACAAATCGGAGTTATTATCATTTGTAAATCCATATCTATTAGTATTGTTTGAACATTAAAAACGAATAAATATAATCGAATCATTAAACTAGGTGCAATTCCAGACTTATGGCAGGTCATACCATTAACTTGTACATCATAATACAATATAAAAAGATGCAACCTTATGGTAATATCCTTCAAAATTGTATTACAGTATGGACTACATATTACTCATACAATTAATTGACTTTATATTTAATCAGTGATAACTTAATTAGAGAAATATGATAAGAAAGGAATATTCCAGTTTAGAAACTTTCGGAAGAATTAAATTTACATTAAGAATATAATCATGATAAATAATGATATTGTTGCTGAGAGGAAATGGGTACTTTCACGGAGGAAAGATACTTTTGTATAACCTGAGTACGTAACATGAATGGCGAGGATTAAAATGCAAAGGGGTAGGAATTGTAATGCAGTAATACTTATTTCAAATTTTACTACGCGACGTCATTTGAAGTCGAGGTGTTTCACCTCATCCCGCGGCTATTTTTGTCTTGAGTAAAATATTACAAAATATGAGACAAGAGCGCTTTTGGCATTTTCCTGGTAGAACGTGCGGGAAGCAACGTTAGATTCATTGAGGGAGCAATAAGGTGAACTTTGTTGTCTCGTGTGATTTGACCGCGTATACGACTGCAAGATAATTAACCCTCATACTCATAGACAGTCTCCCGAATCATGGATTAAAAATATTTTTAGCGGTCTAATTTCCTCCCGCGTGCATCATCAACCTGTGTCTCAAAGAGGATTATAAGCTCTATGACCGAGGTCTTCATCTTCATGATCACGGTCTCCTTAATTACTACTGTAGGTCGAGGCGTTGGCATTATTAAAATGTGAGGGGCTGGGGGGGGGGGCACCTGCAATAGTACAGCCGTCAAGGTCAACATATAATTTGACACGATTGAGGGAGTGGGTGATTCCCTCAATGTTCGATACAAAATAACATAGAATGTTATCATGACGCCATTTGTATCTTTCCAGAGACACAGTACAGTTTTCAAAAATGTGGTGGAGGGTGCCGGTCGTTTGAGGGCAAAATTGACATTTATTTTATTTGATAATATCTCACCCCATCTGCATAGATTAGTGTAGGATGGTAGGGAATCTATAATATATGCACTTGCCACGAAATTCGGCTCTCTCTCTCTCTTAGGTAAGTTGTAAATACAGACTTCCATGAAAGATTCTCGTCAGCAGGAACTTCACAAATTGCCCTTGCACGAGGAGCGGTTAAATCTACTTTTTGAAGGTATTCTGTTGAATTTTCTTCCGATGTCGCCGTGATAGCTCTTTTCACTAAAACTGTTTGTTGTTGCTATTTACTTTATTGAGATTTTGTTGGCATGCTCCAATAGAGGACTGCTTTTTGTGTCCATTGTGACTCTCCATTAATAATGCAATCACGGTCTCACGGTCCATGGTTTACTTGGGAGTCCCCGTTTGTATTGCACGGTGCTTTAATCATGAACTGGCACGTTCCACGTACTATCCGTCTTTGGTCAGAAACCATGGGTTCTCGTGCAGAAGTCCACTAAGAGCCCAACATGTTTTGCCGAATATAAACTGTCTATTTATAGAAAGAAAATTAATGCTTGTGATTAATGTGGAAGGGGGCAAATCAAACGAGAAAAGGTACATGACTTTTTCATAATGGCAACCAAAATGTGGTACATTGTGAACCCATGTTCTCATCATTTTTAATATAAGGGGAGAAGAAAGATCACAACGTTTATTTCTACAATAATTTTGTCACTCCCCCAAAGTCCCCATCCAGGTGTGATAAATGGGTAAATGGGCCCGTTGTATAAAACTTACCACTGATCATAACTTCAATGGAAACCTTGATTTAATTGCCTAGTTAATTGGTAGTTAATACTGATGGCAAAGATATGCCACCGGGTCCTGGTTAGTTATTCATTGAATGCTTTTATCGACTCTGACATGTCCGAGTAGCTGGGCTGCAGCCAGGGTAATCCCCTTGTCGAAATGAGTGTTTTTGCCATATCATCATTCTGATACCACTTCGCTGCTGATTTGGAGGCTTTCCCGTTACTGTGTCATTGGATGTTTGAAATCGACAGGGGTGGGGGAGGGGATGCAGCCCCTATCCCTACACTAAAGCATATACAGCCTTGTTTGTTTAAGCAGTAGAGAGTGACTAAAACGAACGGTATGGGTGAGATGGCAACATCATTCATCCAAACATTCATCTATATGCTTGATCGAAGAATAATGCGATTTCCATGTGGTGAAAACTGGACAGCGTTTCATGAAACCGTCATAAGTACAAGTTTACCGACATCCCATTGAATTACGTGTATTAAGTTTAACACGCGTTTCCATGGGGTGTCGGTGAACTTGTATTTATGACAGTTTTATGAAACGATGCCATGATGCCTGTCTTCTCCTGAAGGATCTGAAATCAGTAAGCGAAAAAGAAACAAATATGTGAAGAGTCACTTGGTTTGTGAAAGGTTCTCTCGAGTAGAAGAAAGATCGCCTGACGAATTAAAAGGTCATTGCAAACGGAATTATTTAAGACTTTTTAAGTCGGTCTTTCTTATTCAATTTACAGGCTTTCAACTGGCTTCTCCCTGATTATGTTTTTTTAATATGTCCTATTGAATCTAATGTTAGATAAAAACGATGACTTATCTCTAGGAAAACAACATGTGGTGTCAGATGACAAAATATAATAGATTACGTCCTCAATTACCCTTTGAGCTAACGTTTACGACCATTACCATGGCAACACGGTTATTAATCTTCTAAAGTGATCGGTTATGATTATTTCCACTCTGCTCTGTAGTGTTAAGTCCTCAAAACGAAAGGATATTCATCAAATATTTTTGCCAAAGGGTAGTTACATTTTTTAACCATGGACGTCAAATGCCTACCAATAATGCTTACTTAACAGTAATATTAATTATGGCCGTAAAAATAGCCGCCTCTTTGATGTGAGTTTACGATATAGGATCATTTGCTTTGAATGAGGAAGGCTTTCCTCATCCTGTGATTAATGGGTTCAGGGGGAGTTAAGTGGCTTGTTTTCTCATCTTTGCGAGATTCGATATTGCTCTTCCTTAGCGATATAAAGGGTGACCGATATTTTATCCCAATATGCAGGCTGATCGCGATGGCATTTAATCATACTGTTAATTCTCAGTTATTGTTGTCATTAAAGGTACTTTGTCCCATTTGCAGGCCAAACAAATGAAAAGATTAAATTCCAGCGGCATTTGAAAGATAATACTAATTTAGAACTCCTCTCAAAAGAAAAGGGCTTGGCAGTGTTTATTTGTTAGAAAATGATGATGGTTTAATAGTTGTCGAATCGAATTTAGAGATCGCGGTTGTTTTATTAAATAGTCTGATTTTCAGACCGTTGTACCGAATAGTCGTTCGTTTTGTGCTGCGCAAGTATGCAATCAGTTCCATTTTGGCCATTACAAGAAGTGAGTTATTGATGTAGACAAATGCTCATGTACCCTTTACAACTCGTTTTATGTTTGTCTTTAACAAATAAAATAGAAGTCAGTCAGTCACCCAATAGTGTCTGACAGTGAAGTATAGAAAGTAAACGGATTTCCTTGCGTAATTTGAATACTATAGGACACTGCTAACGTTTGAAATTCACAAATAGCACATACGTGATATATTCATAATTCCTACAAAGTTCTACAGAATTTGATGTTGGTTGCAAAAGGGATACGGGGATATTCCCAATCTAATTATGGTCCCTGAATGGCGAAAAATTTTGAAATTTGGTAAAAAGATGAAGCAAATTTGAAAGAATAATGGCAATGAAGTATAGGGAGATCAAGGAAGGTGAGTTATTGGCTGTGCCTTGCCATGCTGCCCCGGCCTCCCCCTTATTCCTTGAGAAAATGGATAGTTATGTAACACCTATTTTCCTCCCTCTCTCTCCTCCAATTTCTCACTTTCATGAACATTATGTTATATCTCTCTCTCTCTCTCTCTCTCTCTGTATATACATATGTTCTGATGGAATTTATACTGTCTTAAACATAAAAATGCGTACAGCAGATATTTCAAAACTACCATATAGGAGGTGAAAACCCGAAAAGTAAAGATCGTGCTCGGGAACGTCAAGAACAAATGAAAAGACAAAGTGATTTAAGAACATAATGAAGTAAATACACCTATTTGTACTTTTAGCGGTAACTTTTCGTATTTTCACTTTCTGTATTCGTATCAAAAGTCAATTCAAGTGGCAAATTATTTCTAATGATCTACAATTTAGCTATCTTTCATTTCCCTTCATCCAAAATTCCTTCACATTGTACTCATATTTCAAAGTAATTTATAAACGCCGTGTGCAAAAGAACTATTTAAATACGGGAAGGCAATTTTCCTCGATAACGACTACATTAGCATTGATCGCAGTATCATCACGAGTCATCACTTTCAGTCTACAATTATTATATACATCTTACTGGAATATTATTGTTCCTTTTTTTTTCATTACAGAAATTGAAACATCGGCGATCCTGAAAGTACAATCAGCAAACTTCATGTGAAGGGAAGCACGGAGTAATTTTACATAATAAACACATTGGCAAAGTACTTCTATCGTTATAGCTAATTAAACAGTTGAATGACTGATTCATCAAATGGACGTTAATTTTGGTGACTGAGCACAGTGGTGAAGTGTACAAGAACTGTAGTGCATGAAAGCAACATTCCCCTATAATCATTGATTAGGCTGAACAACTATTTTTAAAGCACTGATTAAAATATGGTGAAGATATTTTTAAAGTACAAACTGAAGAATGACTTTCAAACAAGCGTTTACTGGGAGTTATGAGCAGCATGGATCTACGATCAGTGGTCTGTGCCTTGATGATGTGGACATTCTTAAATGTATCAGGTGACCATGTCGAGTACAGTGACATCACTTACAGGAAAGATGGTGATCTGATCCTTGGTGGGTTATTCCCTATCCACGAAACGGGTCCTTCTGGGTTGAGGTGTAGTGAGCTCCGGGAGACAGAGACCTTGCATCGCTTAGAAGCCATGGCGTTCGCTATCGAAGAGATCAACAACCTCACAGACATTCTGCCAGGTGTGACACTAGGATTCGAGATCAGAGACACGTGTTCCGATGTTTCCATGACGCAGATAGGAGCTTTGAAGTTCCTTCCGTCGGACTTCACCCGCGGGGCTACCTGTCCGATGTCGACCAACGCGAGCACGTTATTGGAAGCCAGTCCGATCATAGGGGTGGTGGGTACAGAGATGAGCAAGACGACAATGTCTGCAGCCCAACTTCTTGGTTTGAACCATGTACCTGTCGTGAGCTATTATGCAACAAGTGATGACCTGTCTGATACGATCCAGTATCCATATTTCTTGAGGGTAGTTCCACCTGACAGACTCCAGGTACAGGCGATGCTGGAGCTTATCCGGACTTATGAATGGTCCTACATCTATCTCCTGCACTCGGACGACAGCTATGGGACAAACGCGTTCCAAGAAATTGTTCGCGTTGCGGATGAGATTGGCGTTTGTCTTGCGGAAACTTGGGAGATTGGATCTCAATTAACAGAAGAAGACTTTGATAATATTATTATGAACATGCAGATGAGGTCTCAGGCAAAGGTCGTGATCCTCTTCATAAATGTAGTAGAAGCCAACAGCTTTTTTGCTGCATTAAGGAGAAGTGGGGCAGTCGGGGATTATCAGATTTTGGGCAGCGATGGATGGGGAATGAGTATTGGGGAAATTGAGACTTTAAACAGGCCGGCTGCTCTTGGGTCACTCAAGACTCATCTCTTCTCGGCTCATGTGCAGAATTTTGAAGACCACTTCCTGGGACTGACACCCACAAAATCCCATGACAATCCGTGGTTTCAAGAGTACTGGAACTCCAGTAGGAACTGTTCGTTCATCAAGCACGGCGCATCCTGTCTCTCAAGTACAGGCTTCAGTGCTGGAAGTGCTGTATCCTTGGTTTTAGATGCAGTCTCTACTTTGGCTCTAGGCCTTTCTGAAATGCACAAGGACCTATGTCATGGTCAGTCTGGGATCTGCCCAGCCATGACGCCGTTTGATAGTGCACTTCTCTTTGACTACATGACTAACCTATCCTTTGAGGGTCAGTCAGGATTTGTGACCTTTGACAGTGGAGGGGATGCGATCGGCCGCTATGTCATTGACAACATCCAAGTTGAAAATATCAACTATGAGTTGGTGAAGGTCGGTCTCTGGAGTGCCATCCAGGGAAACCTCTTGGTAATGAACAACTCAAACGTGGTCTGGGGACCTGAAGAATCCCGTCTAGTCGGAACTGCTCCTCTGTCGTACTGCAGTGATCCCTGTGGGAATGGTCAAATTTATATCCCTCGAGAAAACGTCTGCTGCTGGTCATGCTTGAACTGTTCTGATGATGAAATCACGATGATAAATCAGACAGCTTGTTTGAAATGTAACCAACGAGCTGCTCCCGATGACGACCAACTCAACTGCATCCTTGTAGAAGCTAAATACATCCTGTGGAACGATCCTTTGGCGATTATGTTGACAGTTTTAGCGATTGGTGGACTTATCCTGGTTTCAATGGTGCTCTTCTTTTACATCAGCAATCGGAACAACTTGTTGATCAAAGCCTCCAGCCGTGAACTGTGTAGTATCATTCTAGTTGGTATTTATCTCTCATACATTCTTGTCTTTTTCCTCGTTGCCAAACCGACTTTCGGCACCTGTCTTATCTGTCGCATGATGCTTATGCTCTCCTTCACCATCATCTACGCTCCAATATTGACGAGAGTCAACAGGATATACCGCATCTTTGATCGCGCACAAAGGTCTGTCCGGAGACCTGGATGTATCAGCCCGACGTCACAAGCAATAATCGCTGTCATTCTCATCGGTGTTCAGGTTAGTTATCACTGAAATGGAAAATAAAAGCAAAAACAACATTTAATAATTATACAAGGATACTACGTCTTTATGGAACTAATCGACACATTTTGCAACTTACCTTCTGCATAGAACGATAAATGCCATTCTCTTGATATGATGTTCAAATAAGGTCTTGATGAAACGTTGTAGGCTTGTTTGTAATTTACTTATATCTTATCGAACATCGATGTACTAGCCCACGAGACCGCCTATGAGAATCGTATTGCTCTCAAGGGTTTTGGGTCTAGCATGATGTCTCCGTATTAAGCATCGATCTACATCATGCGTACATGCAGCCTCAACTTTGTAAAATGATTTAATAATTCAATTAATCAATTAAACATAATTCATAGTTCATATAACCATCTTTTTCACTTTTCAGGTTCTGGTAAACACTGTGTGGATGATCCTCGTGCCTCCTGCAGCGGAGGAGGAGTTGGTTGCCCCACAACGAGTCGAGCTAGTGTGCAACTTTTCGAGCCAAGAAATCATCACCTCGCTCAGCTACAACGTTATCTTGCTCACCCTGTGCAGCAGCTTCGCCTTCATGACGCGTAAGGTTCCAAACAACTACAACGAATCTCGCTTCATCGCCCTCTGCGTATACACCGTCCTCGTCATCTGGATCGGGTTCATCTCTAGTTACTTCGCCATCAACGACGCCAAACTCAAGGTCGTCGTCCTCTCCCTCGCCATGATCTGCAACGGCACCATCACTCTCTGTTTCATGTTCCTTTCGAAGCTCTACGCCATCTATTTCGAGAAGGAAGTCATCATCAACCCTACAACCTACAACGGATCAGGCAGAGGGACTACGACCGGGGAAACCAGTGAAGGCAATCAGGATATTGACGTTCGCGTTGAGGAAGGTGGCGGTGGTGAGAAAAAAAGCACTTCAAAGTTTCGGAAAGCTACAGTTCGGCCATCGGGAGAGGACTTCCAAGCTAAGCAATCGTACGGTGTGGCAGCCACCGAGAAAAATACCCTTAAGGGACGTCCGTACCCACCTCGAGAGAAAAAGTGTTCAACTATATCAGGATCGGAGAGCAGCTGCAGCTGACTATAGTAAAGATCATCGCAGTGTAAATGTCAATTCATTGTACACTTGATTGAGAGGTCGAGGGTTCGAATCCTTACACATGGATGGGATGCCATTGGAGCTAATTATCCACAGTTGTCTCCCTCGCCACAGGTGCAGTGAAGGATTGTCTGGTTGGGTTATTCCATGAAATGCACTAAAACGTCAGAAGAAAAAAAATAGTTTAGAATGCAGCGGAAAAGAGACAATGCTGCTCCTGTCAGACGCTGTACAAAAGAATGGAATATTATTATCATGATTATTCCAGTTATTGTTATTATAGTAATAAAGATAATACTGATGACGATGATGATATGATGATGATGATGGTGATGATGGTGATGATTATTGTTATAATTATTTTCATTATTATTAGTATATCATTATTATTATCATTATTATTATTATTATTATTATTATTATCGTTATCAATTTCACTACCATCATCATTAATTACTATTTTATTTGTGTACCCGTTTGTTGACTTTACAGAGCAAATAAAAGATTACACCACGGCAAGAATAAGTGTCTCGAAGGATCATCCCTTATATTCGGTGGTATGACCAAAACAATATATAGAAGACATTTTACATTTAAAAAGCACATCATCGCATTATCATCCAAACAATTATCATGTTTGGGATGTCCATGTCTGTATTTTAATTAGGCCTACAATGATCTGTATGGCAGGAGTAGGGCAACAACACTCTAAATTGTGTTTGGGATTATTGCTAGTGCCTCTATTTTGCCAAGACGGTCTTGTATATTATCTATTTTTATACACCTGTATATTTTATATTGTATATATGCACTAATGTTATTTATATTACAAACAGAATATGAGGTATTGCATTTCAAGATACGAATCTGATCGTATAATATATACGATGATAAAAGGTAACATACACAGCAAATATACATGCAAGTAGTTGATAGACTGGAGGAGAGGGATGGTGGTAATATGACCTTAAAATGTATGTATCTTTTACAATTTTGTCGGCAAGTTTCACTTTCTTTCGTTCTTCCTAATGCTAAATTTAAAATTCAAGTTAGTGGTCGCATTTATTGCTCGATCCCGTGAAAGGTCATAGCCTGCTGATGACACGTGTGTTTCATTAAATGGGCATGTCCAACCTAGGTATATGGCCACTAATTTGTGTCACATATTAAAGTATCATGATGCGATAAACACAAAAACTATCATTTTCCTTAAAAGTTGGTCTTATCCTATAGCTAAGGCTATCAATTAACTGCTATTATTACCATAGATGATGATAAAGAGAATAGGAAGTTTCATACCAAGATTTTATGTTGAATATCAGTATGGATCCGTCTGTAAATAATATATATTTCATGTTATCTTTTACCCATTTCATTTTTAAATCTTTGTACATTGTTGTTTATTTCTATACGATTGTGTCTACTTTGCACACGATCCGTCACACGATCCATCACACTATGTTTTTGGGGGGGGGGGGGTAGTACGGCAAGTCTATGAAAATGTCCCACATATCACAAATCAAAGGTCATAGTTACATGAAGTCTCTCGCATAAAGATGTACGTTTACATGCAAACCAAAGAATGGAACGCGACTCCACTGTCATCCAATCCGGATAGCTAATTTTGTAGGAACTGCGTTTTGTTGGACAAATTGTAAAATGGGAGAGGCTCTTCGGGTATGAAGCTTATTACATTACACAAGGGAATACATATGTACATACCAATACTATCGATGTCTCATTTTGTAATACATTAGGCCGGGATATATTTCATTTTGGGCTTACTAAAGAAGATGGGCTAGATATCAGCATTAATATGCTCGCATCGCAACTTAACCCCTTCTGAACAGAGGCCCCCATGATATATCAATGCATATGCGACTTTTAAAGAAGACATCAAAATGCGATCTCAAATCCTTACAAAAATTCAACTAAAGGCGATTAAAGTAATCTTGTACGCCACCATTGGAAGTTTGCGAACGTTAGAATTACAAAATCCAAACATCATTTATATTCATTGCAAAAGTGTATTAAAAATGATTTCTTTAAAATCTTCGCGATTGTATTGAAACTTATAATTGCTTATAAAACTTCATGTCATTGTCGAAACTATTTTCTTGAAAAAAAAGGATATCTGTAGCTTCCCACAAACTGTGTGGTAGGGCTGTTGATCTGATGTAACGTAATTTCATTCAAAAAGCGCAACACTGATCTATTCGACTGTATAATTCTTCAGGTTAGGAACTGAACTGGTGGGATTATAAGCAAACTACGATGATAGCACGTACACATACAATTGCACTTCGCATGGTGTAATAAGTGAACATTTTTGTATGGCATGAAGGTACCGTTAGAATCCAATTAATGCCTGTGGTAGCTTGTAAATCAAATAAGAAAACCGACCACTGCTGCAGTATTGTGATGCATCATGCATCTCGTAAGATAGACTGTGCTATGTTTAAGGATCAGCAGCTTTTCATGATTAAAATTACAAATGGTTTGATTAATTAATGATATTGTGGCAAGATCTACCCTCATGTCAAAAACCGCGATGGTATTGAAATTAATAAAGTACGTTGACAGGCACACAAAACTCTTCTTTAAATTACATTACAAGCCAAATGAATATTGGTAAGTCAAATAATTGATGCTGTAACGAGATTTAAAAACCTCAACATATTTCATCTAATAAATATTGTATGATAACCCCAAAACAGAGTCGACATGTTGTATTGTATTAACAATTTAAACTGCGTTCTACTCAAATTTTTGGTCTCTTTTTCCAAAAGTTTCGAATCGATGACATCCCCCAAAAAAGTACTTCATAGTTCTTCAGACAGATGTAATTAAGTGAAAGAATTGCACATCTAGATGATTATATGGGAAGAGATATAGAAAGAGAGGAAGAGAGAGAGACAAAAAAAAAAGAGAAAGAAAGAAGAGAAGAGGGATGGAGGGAGAGAAATGGAGAGGAAGAGAGAGAAATATGTTGGAGTTGATGAGATAAGTGCAAAGGTTGAAGAGGTTTACACCAAATAAAACAAGGTGTAGCACACCCCCCAAAAGAGACAATAAGATTCCAGTGTACCCGTGCCCCACCTCTCTCTCTATCTCTCGCTCTCTCTCTCTTCCCCTATCCTTTTTCATCGTTTTCCTTCCCCCACTCTCCCCCCTTTTCGCTCATTTCTCCTCTTTCTTTTGCTTTCCTCCTTTTCCCTCGTCCTTTCTCACTCTTGTCCTACACCCACTCCTCCTCCCCTAGCTTTTACTTTCCTCCTTTCTCACTCTTGTCCTACACCCACTCCTCCTCCCCTTGCATTTTCTTACCCCCTTGCTTTTACTTTCCTCCTTCCCCCCCCCCCATCCTTTCTCACTCTTGTCCTACACCCACTCCTCATCCCCTTGCATTTTCTTACCCCCTTGCTTTTTCTTTCCTCCTTTTCCCTCATCCTTTCTCACTCTTGTCCTACACCCACTCCTCCTCCCCTAGCTTTTACTTTCCTCCTTTTCCCTCATCCTTTTTCACTCTTGTCCTACACCCACTCCTCCTCCCCTTGCATTTTCTTACCCCCTTGCTTTTTCTTTCCTCCTTTTCCCCCCCATCCTTTCTCACTCTTGTCCTACACCCACTCCTCATCCCCTTGCATTTTCTTACCCCCTTGCTTTTACTTTCCTCCTTTTCCCTCATCCTTTCTCACTCTTGTCCTACACCCACTCCTCCTCCCCTTGCATTTTCTTACCCCCTTGCTTTTTCTTTCCTCCTTTCTCACTCTTGTCCTACACCCACTCCTCCTCCCCTTGCATTTTCTTACCCCCTTGCTTTTTCTTTCCTCCTTTCTCACTCTTGTCCTACACCCACTCCTCCTCCCCTTGCATTTTCTTACCCCCTTGCTTTTACTTTCCTCCTTTTCCCTCATCCTTTCTCACTCTTGTCCTACACCCACTCCTCCTCCCCTTGCATTTTCTTACCCCCTTGCTTTTTCTTTCCTCCTTTCTCACTCTTGTCCTACACCCACTCCTCCTCCCCTTGCATTTTCTTACCCCCTTGCTTTTTCTTTCCTCCTTTCTCACTCTTGTCCTACACCCACTCCTCCTCCCCTTGCATTTTCTTACCCCCTTGCTTTTTCTTTCCTCCTTTCTCACTCTTGTCCTACACCCACTCCTCCTCCACTTGCATTTTCTTACCCCCTTGCTTTTACTTTCCTCCTTTCTCACTCTTGTCCTACACCCACTCCTCCTCCCCTTGCATTTTCTTACCCCCTTGCTTTTACTTTCCTCCTTTTCCCTCATCCTTTCTCACTCTTGTCCTACACCCACTCCTCCTCCCCTTGCTTTTACTTTCCTCCTTTTCCCCCATCCTTTCTCACTCTTGTCCTACACCCACTCCTCCTCCACTTGCATTTTCTTACCCCCTTGCTTTTACTTTCCTCCTTTCCCCCCATCCTCTTTCACTCTTGTCCTACACCCACTCCTCCTCCCCTTGCATTTTCTTACCCCCTTGCTTTTACTTTCCTCCTTTCCCTCATCCTTTCTCACTCTTGACCTACTCCCACTCCTCCTCCCCTTGCTTTTACTTTCCTCTTTTCCCCCATCCTTTCTCACTCTTGTCCTACACCCACTCCTCCCCCACTTGCATTTTCTTACCCCCTTGCTTTTACTTTCCTCCTTTTCCCCCAACCTTTCTCACTCTTGTCCTACACCCACTCCTCCTCCCCTTGCATTTTCTTACCCCCTTGCTTTTACTTTCCTCCTTTCCCTCATCCTTTCTCACTCTTGACCTACTCCCACTCCTCCTCCCCTTGCTTTTACTTTCCTCTTTTCCCCCATCCTTTCTCACTCTTGTCCTACACCCACTCCTCCTCCCCTTGCTTTTTCTTACCCCCTTGCTTTTACTTTCCTCCTTTTCCCCCATCCTTTCTCACTCTTGTCCTACACCCACTCCTCCTCCCCTTGCATTTTCTTACCCCCTTGCTTTTACTTTCCTCCTTTCCCTCATCCTTTCTCACTCTTGTCCTACACCCACTCCTCCTCCCCTTGCATTTTCTTACCCCCTTGCTTTTACTTTCCTCCTTTCCCTCATCCTTTCTCACTCTTGTCCTACACCCACTCCTCCTCCCCTTGCATTTTCTTACCCCCTTGCTTTTACTTTCCTCCTTTCCCTCATCCTTTCTCACTCTTGTCCTACACCCACTCCTCCTCCACTTGCATTTTCTTACCCCCTTGCTTTTACTTTCCTCCTTTACCCCATCCTTTCTCACTCATGTCCTACACCCACTCCTCCTCCCCTTGCATTTTCTTACCCCCTTGCTTTTACTTTCCTCCTTTCCCTCATCCTTTCTCACTCTTGACCTACACCCACTCCTCCTCCCCTTGCATTTTCTTACCCCCTTGCTTTTACTTTCCTCCTTTCCCTCATCCTTTCTCACTCTTGTCCTACACCCACTCCTCCTCCCCTTGCATTTTCTTACCCCCTTGCTTTTACTTTCCTCCTTTCCCTCATCCTTTCTCACTCTTGACCTACACCCACTCCTCCTCCCCTTGCATTTTCTTACCCCCTTGCTTTTACTTTCCTCCTTTCTCACTCTTGTCCTACACCCACTCCTCCTCCCCTTGCATTTTCTTACCCCCTTGCTTTTACTTTCCTCCTTTTCCCTCATCCTTTCTCACTCTTGTCCTACACCCACTCCTCCTCCCCTTGCATTTTCTTACCCCCTTGCTTTTTCTTTCCTCCTTTTCCCTCATCCTTTCTCACTCTTGTCCTACACCCACTCCTCCTCCCCTTGCTTTTACTTTCCTCCTTTTCCCTCATCCTTTCTCACTCTTGTCCTACACCCACTCCTCCTCCCCTTGCTTTTACTTTCCTCCTTTTCCCTCATCCTTTCTCACTCTTGTCCTACACCCACTCCTCCTCCCCTTGCATTTTCTTACCCCCTTGCTTTTTCTTTCCTCCTTTCTCACTCTTGTCCTACACCCACTCCTCCTCCCCTTGCATGTTCTTACCCCCTTGCTTTTTCTTTCCTCCTTTCCCCCATCCTTTCTCACTCTTGTCCTACACCCACTCCTCCTCCCCTTGCTTTTACTTTCCTCCTTTTCCCTCATCCTTTCTCACTCTTGTCCTACACCCACTCCTCCTCCCCTTGCATTTTCTTACCCCCTTGCTTTTTCTTTCCTCCTTTTCCCCCATCCTTTCTCACTCTTGTCCTACACCCACTCCTCCTCCCCTTGCATTTTCTTACCCCCTTGCTTTTACTTTCCTCCTTTTCCCCCCATCCTTTCTCACTCTTGACCTACACCCACTCCTCCTCCCCTTGCATTTTCTTACCCCCTTGCTTTTTCTTTCCTCCTTTCTCACTCTTGTCCTACACCCACTCCTCCTCCCCTTGCATTTTCTTACCCCCTTGCTTTTACTTTCCTCCTTTTCTCCCTAATGCGCACGCACACCCACACATCTCCACTTTTCCATGAAACTTGGCCTTCATTATCGATATTACAAATCAACATCAATCCTCTTAGAAATTAACAAGGTTCCACTAGCAGTAGCTAACAAAGCAATTATTTTTCTAATGCTTGCACGTGGATCCTTGGATGTATCATTAGCCCATTTTCATGAACCTATCAAAACATTAAAAATGTTAGACAAGACGTTCAATCGTATTACCTCTTATTACTAACTTACACGATGTTTCTTTTCAAGGCATGAACAATTTAATCTAATTATGGAAAGCATTTATAGAATGCTGCATAAGTCTAACTTTGACTTTAAAAAAATAAGACTCCCCATCTCCCTCTCGGGAATAGAACATGCTATCAAAACGATCTTTCAAATTACAAATCATTTTGCAAGCAGATAGCAGCCTGTATGGAAGTCATGGTCACCAAAACAAATAAGATGATTTCTTGGAAAAAATAATACAGAAGAGGAAATGCATGCATCTACATTTCCAAATTAAGGTGATACGATTTTTACTTGGCGGTTTCACGGGTGTAGCTTAAGAACACTCACAAAAGAGCTGCTTATATAGACAAATATTTAAAACATATATATTCTTTATTAAGAAAAAATTGAATTGTAATTTATATATCTGTAAACATTTGCACACAACTATATAAAAATGTTTAGGTATATAAGTGAATATTACAGTTATTTCTTCTATTTGCAGTGTCATTAATCACTATCATTCTATTTATCTCAACAGTACACAATAATCTCACATTAGAAAAAACATACATCAGATAAGCAACATTTCTTCCACACCTCTGAATAGTAGGGGCATGGCTAGAGGGATTTGTCAACAACCCCCCCCCCCCCCCCCCCCCCCAATTTACAAGAAGAAAAAAAAAATACATGTGAAAGGTTGTGGGTGAATTCTAAGGTATATTCTGATGACTGGTGACATTCTTTTGTTACAATCCTTAAGCTACTTGTTGGCAAATTTGGTCCATCAGTCACCCTCCATTAAAAATGGTATAGTGACGCCCTAGCTGAATAGTCATATGTCTATACAGTACGTCAATTACACTGACCAGACTGACAAAAGACCAAAAAAAAAAAATACATGTGAAAGGTTGTGGGTGAATTCTAAGGTATATTCTGATGACTGGTGACATTCTTTTGTTACAATCCTTAAGCTACTTGTTGGCAAATTTGGTCCATCAGTCACCCTCCATTAAAAATGGTATAGTGACGCCCTAGCTGAATAGTCATATGTCTATACAGTACGTCAATTACACTGACCAGACTGACAAAAGACCAAACAAAAAATGACATTATCCAGAATGTCCAAGAATCGGTCGGTTTGGAATCAGAGTGGAGTCTGTTTGGCGAAGTGACTATTAAAAGTGGAGTCGGAAATTGAAATGTTTGCGGCATTGCAAGCCTTGCATAAAAATAACAATACCCAATCAGTTATAAAAATCAGGCAGCTGTTTGATTGGTCCGTCACAGCGTCATCAAATTGATGAGGTGATTAAGCCTCCATTATCCTACTGAAAGCTTAGAACACAAACACATCCACTCCCTACCTCCAATTGATGAAAACAGCTTCACAGCAAGTGACAGTGATGCTGATAGTGTATGATGGGGAGGTAGGAGAGATAGAAGAAAGAGGAAGACTACGACAAGAAGAAGATGGTGTTGATAGTGCAGCTAAGGGGCAAGTCATAGCATATCTGCATGAACCTGAGCCCTGGGCACGGTTGGGAGAAGGGCTCCGTTTGCCTTTTAATGACAGAGATGCGGTTTGAGGGTTGCAGACAACTTGGATTTTTGGGAAAGTTTAATTAAGATCATTCTTCGCAAATTTCTATTTTCAAGCAGATTAAATCATAGATGAATCAATGCAGGATTCAAACCTCCAAATATCAATTACAATTAGATCTATGTCGGAAATGGAACTGCACGGTATTATAATGATTTTCAGTCTCAGGATTGATAACAGAAGTGATTGAACTGCATAGAAAATCATCATCATAATCCCCATTCATAAGTTGACATCTTAACAAACAACAAAAAATAACAAGATATTTGGAATAATCTAAATGCATAAGTCATTCTTACTTTATATAAATGGCAAAATAGGCAATTTTAAAGTTTCATTACCTAAATTTGTGTATGCGTATGTTTTTGTGTGCTTCTCACTAGCGCCCCGAGCTAGCGCTCCGAGCTAGCGCTCCGGCTCCCCGTCCCAAGTGGGACGTCATGATTCAGAACTTGTATATTTCGCTTTCAAGCCAGGATTTGAAGTTCTAAGAAGGGTCTTGGAAAATGTTAATTGAAGAGTTTAATTGATATTTACACAACTTTAAAGCAAATGATTTGTGTTCTCATTGATATTAGCTTTTTGCACAGCTACGTTAAGGCACTGATGAAGAGTGTTGTAGTGGTCCATAAAATGTTGCCTCACAGCCATCATAGGCATAGGCATAAATAGTCAGTTTTTAATGAATTGCCTTAAAACATAATCTAACAACAACAACAACATTAAGGATTTAGGGTACGCTATTCATCCATAATTTATTGATTTATTTTAATTATTTATACATCTTTATTCAGGGTAAACATGATCAGCAAAGCTGTTATTCATCATGGCCCTGGTTGAAATACAATCTTAAAAAACACCTCAATGAGTGTATGCAAACATTAAAATACATTTAAATGTTTAAAAGCAAAAGTTTATGATGCACATGGATAATGTCACGATGCGGGAGAGACATAGTCATAGCTTGACAAAGAAGCCACTGCCAGAAGGTTTTACAATCATCCATGGTGAGTTGCTTTACAGCGATGACTTTCGTCAAGGCACCGATGAAGAGTCCGATAGACAATCGTCCATGGTAGGTTGTCTTACAGCAATCACCAAGAGTCTAGGGTATTCTGGCTTTACCTCAAATGTCATGATGCAAGAAAGATCTATCAAGGCTTCATATAGGCAAACCACTGACTTTCCTCAAGGCACTGACGGAGAGCATTACAATCGTCCATGGTAGGTTGTCTTACAGCGATCACCAAGGGTCTAGGGTACTCTGGCTGCACCTCAATTGTCATGATGCAAGAAAGATCTATCACTGCTTCCTACAAGCAAACCAAGGACTTTCCTCAAGGCACTGACGGAGAGCATTGCAATCGTCCATGGTAGGTTGCCTTACAGCGATCACTAAGGGTCTAGGGTACTCTGGCTTCACTTCAATTGTCATGATGCAGGAAAGATCTATCAAGGCTTGCTGGCAACGACCAATACCCTGAAAGAAATGGTACAACAAAAATGTTATAATCATTAGACAAACAATCTTGCCACAGTGTACATGAATATAACTGATCTTCTTTTTTAAAATAATTTTCATATAAGAGTCACTTTTGTAATCCTCTAGCTGCCAAAAGTAAATGGTTAAATATTGATGTTGATGTAAAGATAACATTAATAGATCACTACAACTTGTCAGAATAAATTCGTAAAAAACAGAAATGTGAAAGAAACACAAGAACATAGATTAAAGAGATAAGATTATAATGTGTAAGAAAGAGAGGTAAGGAATACAGATGCTTGCGACGGATGGAAATGTTGGCGTTGGAATAGAACCAGTGGATTTTTAAGACCAAATCATTCTTCAATCCTGTTCACATCAAAGTTGCTACTCTGTGTTCTTATCATGATATTACAAAGACATATTACTGCACTGCTTGAATATAACCACCTGGTGAGTATAAAGGACAAAGCGATTAGAATATTCAATGATAGATCAGAGTAACAAACCTGTTTAATGGACTCTTTAATTTCATTTGCTTTCTCCTTTTCACTCTTTTTCATACTGGCCTTCATCTCCTGTGAAACAAAGACATATAGAAGAATTAGAGAAACGTGTTACAATAAATGTTGATAAATGGAAATGGGTGAATAAGACAATGTGATTTCCATAAAGAAATGTACAAGATTTAAACGCACAGTAATGTTAGACATCAGATAGTAAATCAAATGTGGACACGATTACTGTTGAATGTTAAATATGATGCCCACTGACTTTTTCAGTTACAGCAATATGTTTTATATCTGTAATTTTTCTAATGTAAAGCGCACATAGAATTAAATTGGAATTATTATGCATTATGCTAATTAAATCATATTATCATTATCATATACAAGGCCAATTTCCTTACAGTGTCATGCATCTGCAATGTAAGTGCTATATGTATCCTTCTCATGACTGAGGTACAACTTACCATCATTTCAGCCACAGTGAAACCAATCATCTTAGACAGAACCTGGAAGAGGGAGAGGGAGGAGAATTGATAAAAGGCTAAACAAAAAGAAGATGAACTTCTAAATACAGTCAAACCTGCTTTCTATAGTGACCACCTGTCTACAAAGACCACCTGTCTACAAGGACCACTTTTTGGGGTTTTCTTTTAAAATGGCTTCTCATTGAAACATGTACAAAGACCACTTTCCTTGTCTCCCTTTGGTGGTCTACATAGATAGGTTTCACTGTAATATCATCTACAAGAGATTTCTGTGCTATTTCTTTAGAGTGCATTCGCATGTCAAACAATATTTTCTATCTTTCTTGTTAAGATATGATGCAGTTAGCCATAGCTTATTTTGTCTTTAATAGGACGTGAGCATAATAATGTTTCATATCTGCATATCTTATAACATAAAGCTAATACTTGTAGGACCTTCTTTGCCTAAATGCAGACGTTTACCAATTTATATGTGAACGGAGCAAAAAATTTCCTTTCGAATATGACAGTAATCAACAATTTGCTTGCCTCCAATATCAGCTCAAGTTTGCTAAAAGCCCCAGCTGAGAAGTACAAGAAGCTCATATACCGGTACTAGTAATGAATTTTCCAAACCAACAGTAATCACTTTTTCAAGTAACTGAATGGAAATTGGAATTAATCTACAGAGAATAACAAGTATTGTATATTTGGTTGTGAGATTGGTGATTCAACAATGCACACTCCATTCATTGCTCTACAGTAATTTTCTAACACTAACCATATTTCTAACTTGTGCAAAGGAGTACTGCAAGTAAACCTGACCCTTTCCCTAAACCTTTCCTACAGCACAATCTCAACTCAAACACCAAATCAATATCATTGGCGAAGTACAGCCCAAAGGGGAGCATTTGTCGGATCACCAGAATTTGTATGAACTGCAACAATCATCTCAGCGGAAAAATTACCTCCAGCTGAAGAATATGAACTTTTTATATGCCCCAGGAATGGTCAACCTTTCACCAAATGTAGCGTTGAGCAGACATAAAGATAAAGTTGAGTTCTGGTCATGCGATTGCATTGTGAAAGAAACAGTGTGGAATTGATCAGAAAAAGTTGATCAAGTAGCATTAAAGTATTAGTGTGTACTGCAAGAATCTGGAGTCATCAAAATGATAAGAAATTTGGTCCAGTCTTGGTAAAGTAACAAGCACTGTACACAGAAAGATGTATGTGGGACTAAATAAACATGTGGCATAAAAATTGGGCCTCATTTTTAAGCTGTTACTGGTTATATTTTGAATAAGGATGCATTTGAAGAGCCAAGCTTTTCAGGGAACATTACTTTTCTCTGATGTTCTTCCACACTTGCATAATAACAATGATAATGCTGACAAATTATTTGTCACCTCTCCCCAGAACTCAACCTTCTCTTTATGTCTCAGTAATTATTTTGAGTACCAGATGATTGCAGTAGTTATGTGTACCTTGTCGGAGATATCTACATCAAGAGACATGGTGCCATCGTTGATCTTAGCAGCTAGACTCCAGGATGGGTTATGAGACAGACTGGATACAAGAGTCATGATAAAACCCTGAAAACAAAACATGTTTATATTAAATCAATCATTGGAAGTACATGCAAAATATATAAGCGGTTCACTTTAAATCTATCTTCCTCAATACATGAATAATTAAAAATACAAAAGATTACAAAAAGAAGACATACCAGTACTGACATCATTACATCAACCTAGGTCTACATGTAACCCAGTGGTCATGGTAAGGCATGTCAGCATTAAGTTTATTTTGTTACTGATTCAGTTATGCATGTAAACCATTCCTATCAACATCCTTTGAGCTGTGTTTGAGAATTGTTAATGAGATCAATGACATTTAACTACTACATACATTGTGTTTCCTGTTTAGTATTATTATGATTACCAGTTACCACATCACTAGGGTGAAGAGTGGCAAAAATAGACTGATGCCCTATTCAACACCAATAATATGAATATACATTTAGATAGACACAGAGTTTGAACAAAAATCATATCGAGTAGACGCCTTTCCCACTGAAATAGACCTTTGTGAATGTAAATGATGATGAAGATGATGATGATAATGATGATGACGATGATGATGATGACGAAGGTGATAACGATAATGACGATGATGATAATTATGAAGGAGATGATGATGGTGATGTTGATGTTGAAGATGATTATGATGCTGATATTGAAGAAGTGATGACGATGATGATGATGATGACGATAATGATAATGGTGAGGATGATGGAAGTGGTGGGGATAATGACAATAATGATGGTGATAACAATAAAGTTGATTCTAAATGATCACATACCTTGATATCAAAACGACATGCTTCCTTCCTCTTCAGCTGGTCAGCCATCTTGGTAAGATAGATAAAAGGACGGGTACACTTGGGTCCTGAATGGAGACAGAAAGATCTTGACAACCTCAAAAACTATGAACTCTACTTATCTCTACATGCAGATTCTACACTGCCTTGGCAATAGACCAGTCGTAGTTAGCACATAGTGCAAATGACCCCCAATAAATCCTCAGATCTTGAACATGGAGAAGTGCCATTTTTTGCATCTAGAATGATGGCTTGCCAATGCTTCATGAATACCTTTTGTTTGCCATTTGAGAATGAAAAAAATTCCACATTTCTATCCGAGAATGCAGGATTGAAAAATGTATAAATGAAAATTGATTACATAACTTTCATGAACACATATCCGGCATTCATCTTGATGGGTTTTCTCATCTTTTACAAAAGACTTTATCTGCCCATACGTACATATTATATCTAAAATGGTTTATGCCTGTTTATGCAGAGTAGATGATTTTTGTATTGCTGTTTTCTTCCTCACCATTATATATTTACATGTAGTACGGATGTCAACAGACACCATTTCATAATGTACACACTGGTCATAGAATTCATGTAGTGATGGCATTTGCCGAAACAATCATCATGGGCCTTTTGGACTCTGCCAAACAGTGCCATAAAGAGTAGGAAAAGAGTAAATTGTCTGTTTGGAGCCAGAAGAGCATTGACTCATATACATTGATCAGAGTTAATGCCCCTCTGGCTCCACATAGATGAACAGTACCTTATTATGAGTTTGGCATTAACTCACCAGAATGTATTCTCATTCTCTTAGGAGCATTCTCACCCTCTTCAGACTTCACAAGACTTTGCGCCGAAACAAAATCTCTTCTCTCCGCACCTTCAGATATCGAACCCACGTCTGTCTTGCCTACGGTTCCCTGGACCACATCCCCACGGCCCTGCTGAGAAACGGGTTCTGCTTTCATGATCAGTGTAGCGACTGCTATCTTTGTGTTCACAGGCAGCTGTACACCTCTATCAGCCCTACCAAAGCTATGCTGATCTCCCTGCTTCATAGGCTGTGTTCTTGTTGAGTTAATTGGCTGGACTACACAAAGTTCTGTCCTCTGAGGACCTTGAGATATTCTTGAAGCACTTGGTGGTTTCATCTCTCGCTTGAAGAGTGGTACAACATTGGAAGCGAATGTAGGAGATGTGTTTGATGCTTTTGGCAGCTGGGTCTTGACTGGGGGTATCTTAGTTCTGTCGCTGCCAGGTAAACTGTGACTAACACTTGAGAAGGGTTTGATGGAGCTTCCTCCTCTATTTTCTTGAAGACTGCTACTTGATTTGACAGCAGTAGAGTGTCTCTGATATGGTTTTTCTCTAGGATTGTTCTGTCTTTGTCCATTCTGCATCTGTTTATTGCTGCTCTCCCACTCCATGGCTAAGAGATCCTCTTCATCGATGTCTTCCACATCCCAATCTTGATGAGACAGCTCTGGCTCAGGCTTTACCTAAAAAGATAAGTTTAGATAGCCTGTATCTGATTCCACTTGTTTCCCATACAAAGGCAAAGCTGCTTATAATTGTGTGTTAAGATTATCCTGCCTTGAATTTACAAAGACCTTCTTCTTATTAACAACCAAATGTGTTGTAATCTACAATTATTCTAGGATCATCAAAATAATAATCGTAACAAATCCAATCCTTGCACATAACTTGTTTGTACATCACATTGCTCTGGTCAATTCCTAAAACCTAATACTAATCAAATGAACTTTAACTTGGACCGACACTATATCTAACCCTGTAACTAACCTCAAACCTAACCCAAACTCAACTACAACCAAAGCCCTCACTTTATATCTTTGGCAAAACACAGCAAAGCCTGGAATACTATTGCAAAGCAAAAGTCAGATCTTCATGCAATTTTCTTGCTTCCTGAAAAGGACTAATTCTTATCTTTTTCTTACGCAAACATACTTTCTGTGCTTCTTTCTTCTCCAGGTTTTCCAGCTCCTCCAGCATGAGTTCATCCAAGCCATCATCATCATCAACGAGGAATGGATCTTGGAACCCTTGATGACCAACTGGTTTGGTATCTTGTACTGACCGTGAGGGGCCTTGATGCCATCCATGCTGACCAGTGGACTTGGTGTCTTGGTTTGACCTTGAATGACATTGGTTTAATCCATGATGAACACCTGGCTTCTTATCTGGGACTGACCTTGTGTGACCTTGATTCCATCTTTGTTCAGTGGGTGTGTTGACTCGTGGCTCCTGCTTTACTGGAGCCTTGTGAGAGGTGCTCCTGAAAGAAGCATATATAGCAAAAAGTGTAAGAGGAGTGTTTTGAGGAGAGTACTTTTCTACATCTTCTTGAAATAATTCTGTCACCACTCTGCTGCTAGCTATTTATACCTTCTTCTACCTGTTATAATACAAAGGAACTATTGAACATTTTCTAGGTACAAGCTCACAGTGATCGCATATATCTACCTTAAAAGTGCTTGAACAAGCACATTCCTGAAAAGATTTTATCATCGTGTGAAAACATGACATTTGGCTCTTTAAAAAAAAATTATTTCTGATATTTATACAGGGTGCCACATATCACCAATTTGGTGGTCTTACATGAGGCCTTGTTTGGTAATAATAAAAACAAATAACAGCATCAAAAACAAAATAGATAAAATACAAATTAATTGGTATCCCCTTGAAATAACTGATCATTCAAGAATCATCCTTGATCATTTACAAGAAATAGGTGAATGGAATTTTCAAATTAAATACAATTTTTAAAAACGTTCATTTAATAATCTGATAAAGCTTAACGCACGGGATACCAAAATTGTTATATACATATTTACATTCAGTTACTCTTTAACTAATACACTTCGGTTGTTTACAAGATAGCTGAAAATGGATACATTACTTGAATGAATACATGATATAACGATAACCATGTCAACCAAATTTCAAAATTTGGCAAATAGGAAAACAAAAATGGTTACGGTACCTTTGCACGAAACCACCAAAAGTTCACTTACACGTCATCTACAGATAACAGGGCTTTTAGAGCGTGTTTAAAACTGTTCAAAGTAGGTGACATTTTGACAGGACTTTTAAGTTGGTTCCATACTTTAATTCCAGAAATTAGAGGACTATTTTTATAAGTGTCCGTCCTAAATTTGGGTACACACAATGCATCCCTTACAGCATGTCTTGTGTTGTGATCATGTAGTGAACTAACATGATGTAAATCTTGTTTTAAGTATGTTGGTGCCACATTTCACAATTCCTGAGGAAGTTTTGTAAACACCAGTAGCAAGCACACTTACAACACTCAAGTATCTGAAATTGTCCTATCATGAGAGATATATTTTACTGGAGGTTATGGTTTAACTGGTGTCTTGATTCCAAAAATATTGTAGAGGGCTCTTTTTTTCATAGTCCATAAAGTCATAAATAGTGTTCTATATTGAACTTCAAAGCCACTATTTTCAAAATTTTATTCGGATGAACGATTAACCTTCCCCTTCTGACATTGCTGTTTTTGAAATGAAACAGATTAACAGAGAATTCTTACCTTGGTAGTGTCTTGTGTTGATTTGACTGCTGTCTTTGATTGGTGGTGACAGGTTGATTCTGAGCAGGAGCAGTGGTGATGGTGTTGTTGTTGGTGTTGTTGGTGGTTTGTCCTGTTGTAGTTGTGGCAGTGGCAGTGGCAGTTGTACCCTGACCCTGATTGTTGCTACCAGCTGGTCTATCAGGCGGAGTCACTCCACTGTATATACGAAAAAGTACTTACAATTACCGTGAAGTTTGCATCCTAGTAAGGTATAATTTCAATGACATGCATTCTTTCATATTCTGGTTCTATATTGAAAGAACTTCCAACTTCACGTGTAGTGTCAAGTTTGATAGCCTAGTATAATCCTGATTTTTAATTTAAAACGGTTTTGCTTGAAAATATTACTGTAATTTTTGACAAATTCTCAATAGAAATTGTTATTAGTTTTTTTAAAAGGAACAAATAAGTAAATCAAATGAAAATGAAATAAAAAATGAAGTCCGGAACAAAAGTTGCAGGAGTCAATTTTCGACTAGTGGCTACTTACATTGCTCTAGCCAGCATCTTCTCTTGGCTGTTAGCCTCCTTCAAAGCCTCTACTTCACCACCTAGAACCTTGACATGAGTAGGCGTCAATAGAATCACACCGAGTCTACACTGCATATCACCTGACAACATGATCTAAGGTAGGAAGAAAGAGAGAAGAGAGAGAGAAAGAGAGAGAGAGAGAGAGAGAGAGAGAGCAATGTTATCAAAATATTTGAATGCAAGTTTAATCCATATCATATCAGAATCACTTTATAATCAAATCAAATCAAATGACATGGCTGTGCAATCAAGTCAAATCAACTAAAATCAAATGTCAATATGATAGAAATCTACTAGAATCAAATCAAATGACTGTGTAATAACAAAAAAAGTAAAGGAAAGGAGGAACAGAGTAATAAATCTTGTCAATCTTGTTATACGAACCACTCCTGTAGGAGTAATATTGAGGTGTTCAAGTCATCCATGTAATATATGTCTTTTATCCAAAACTGGAAAAAATCTGTTGATGTATTCGTTTGAAAATGGTAGTGATACCGGACGAAACAATGGTCAATAGTCATATGAAGAGATTTTCCATTTTTGAATTGATAAAGGAAATGGATAAAGGTCATATGTAATACGAAACACAATGCAGAGAATGGCTGTGCATGAACTTTGACCTACTGACCTTTGCTCCTGGGTTGAGGTTAGCGGTGAAGCCAGGCACAGGCCTGTATTCCATGGCCTGGATAGTCTCTTGACCATCGGTTAGTGACAGCATCAGCATTCGGCTGGAAGGTGGCTCAAACTGAAAAATAACATTGATTTGGCACTTTCAATAACTATCAACACAACATATACAAGAAAGTACACAACAAAATGATCATAGAAACTTAACCCGGCAAGGGCCAAATTTACAGGAAAATAAAGTTAATACATGTATAACTTGCTTTTAACAACAAAAAAAGAAAAAGGTAATATCCTATGCTGAAGTTGGAGTAGGTTAACACAATATTTTATTGTAATAATATTAGATCTAATGAAATATAATTACCATAGCAGCATGTTTACAAGATGCATGAATTTAACTGATTGCTATCAGCTTCAAGAATACACCTACTTGGGGTTTACTGGAAATCAATTATTGGATTTGGGTACAAATTGAAAAGAGTTAAGAACATGTGGTGAAAAGGGCTCTCTCGGCAGCACCCTTTCAGTGAAACAAGCTACCATTGGAGTGGAGAATAGCAAGTTTCAAATCAAAACAGGAACTCATCTTTCTAATAGCAATGCTTAACATGAGACTATGGCACTTATTTGAACCCTTCTTTCACCTTTTATTTCCCTTGTGCACCTTGAGATAGACAGCACCATACAAATGCCTATAATTATTATTATTAAAGGCATTGTTTTTAACAATGTTAAATCTGAGATGCATGGCCCTACGTGTTATCAGTGTCTGTGATATGGTGTAATATTGAAGCCCTTAAAAATATTCCGCTTCAATATGATCAAGAAGTGCCTCAAAAAAGTAAAAATCTTTGAGTGACCGGTTTTACCATACTCATTTTCCCAAATAGACTGTACTGTAGTGTTATAAAAACATTTATGAAAACGGTTTTTGAAATTTCGATTTTCAATCATAAATATCTTGATAATCAGACAGGCGATCGGCTTGTAAAAGTCATGGGTTTCCTGACTGACCTAAAGGTTTATAATTATTATTGCAGCATGAGCTAAATCCAGGATTTTGTTTCAGAATCTGAGACAAAGTTACAGGATCCCTTTAAGCAAAGTTTCAGAATATCTGCAAGATGTATCTATTTTATCCTCTTCATCCCTTTATCTTCCCAATAATATATATATCTAAACATACCTTTCCTTGTGTAGCAGGTACTGCTGTTACCGAATCATTCTCATTCTCCCTGCCTTGGAGCTTGGTGAGTTGGGCATACGCTGGACTTGAGATGTCTTGAATACAGTTAACCTGCAGGGTAATATAAGAATACAAATGTTATGTTAATCTTTTGAGAAATGACAGAATATAAAATGTCCATCAGAATCCAAATAAGATTTTTTTTTTTTTTTTTTAATATAAAAAAAAGACATCTCCTACAAACTAACTAAATAGAAAATGTATCATACATGGCTAGAAAAAATAGAAGAAAGAAAATGAAATAGGATAGGCCTTCCAAAAAATTAGGAATTTTCTTAATAAAGTCCAACGTGCTTGTTACCATTATTGTTTTGTATTTAGAGCAAATTTTCAGCAATTCACTGCATCATATACAAATTTTTTTTTAAACAGCTATTAAACAGTTTCATTATCAAAATATTACCAAAACTCCAAACGATCTTCATCAGTGTGTAAACAGATGACAGAGGTAGTACACTACAAACCACCCCCGGTTACAGACTGTTTATTGTCTAAACAAGGAGTTCCATCCATACAAGATCAATGAAAACTGTTAATGCACAGATTGTTCTTCAGTTGATAAAACCTTGAAACTCAAAAGGGTACAATTTTCAGATGAGCTCAATACTTTCACGTTTAACATAATAAGTCTATCGATGACTGTCCTAAAACTGGTTCCTTCTGGCCTGGTCTTTAGCAGAGATACATTACATGGGTTTATCAGAACAACATAGGTTAATCAAGGTTAGAATTTTACAGCGAATGTATGTATAGTTCTAGCCACATACCTGGAGAGCATAGTTGCCTTTGAGTTGTGTCTTCTTTGCCTGTTTGATACCTGCTGGAAGGCATGGGGTAGCAATCTCAGTCAGCTCCGAATCTAACCACTGCTCATACACCATCTTACATAGCTGGCTGCCAGACAACACTGTACCCTGTATAAAAGAGAATTTAAAATTGAAAATATACTCCTTGCTCTTCTAACACTATTTACATTAATTATTTTGCTTGAGAATAGTCCATGTTTTTTTTTTTAATGTGATTTATTCAACAATGAAATTTTCATTACCACTTTCTGTGCACCTTACTCTGCATAACTAAGTAGATTTAAAAGTGTTATGGACATGGAGTTAACATTTTGGTTGCTTTCCTTCCGATCCTTCATCTCTCTTCTACTTCACAGAAAATAGGTACCAATTGATGGAAGGATCAATTTGCACAACTCAACGTCTTTGCAATATTACCCACTTTGGGGGTCTTGTTCAGCTCCATGGTAGTGCTTTTAACAACGGTGGTATAGCATACAGTGTAGATCAATCAAGCATTGGAAACAGCTTAATAATTTTGAAGCCAGATAGTTCAAGGCTTTAGTCTTAACTATTTAATATCTGTCCCATCATTCCCATGTCATGATAAATTAAAGTTTGTAGTTTGTACAGGGACATTAATATTGGTGTGGCATTTATATTGTAACAGGTTGACAGGGATGGTTTGTAAGCTTACCTGGTGTTCTTCTTGAATCCATTCCATGCACGCTTCCACCCACTCACCTAGCACAGATATATGACGAGATCTCAACCAAGCCTTCACACCATCAGACTTAACACCCATCTTCATTCAATCATCCTACAAAAAGAAAACAAAAAAGTCAAGTAGATATTGATTGTAATCATGATTTCATACACTTCATAATTACTAACCATGGTTAACCTCCCATGTGATGAGATCATGAGATCAGAATAATCAGCAAATTGAAAACAATGACGGATTAAAAAAGGGTTGCCATTCAAATGTTGGATGATCCAATATTTCATGTTTTTGAGTGCCATTATTAATATACACTGCATCAGTGAATGTCAATGAATCAGATAAGGAGCTAACTCCAGGGAGCTCCGAGGCCTTCCGGGAAACTATTCAAACAGTGGTTCAGTCCTATTTTTTTTTTTTTAAGACTTAGATCTAGTAATTCAAATTTAGACTTACCGGGACAATGTTTTTTTCGACTCCTCTGGGCCTCCGGTCAACCACTTGAAATCATAATTTGAAGATGTCTTTGATGGAAAAAAGGATGATTTCTTGTCCTACACCTAGATCTATATGTGACCTATTCATCCATGATCCATTGATATCGTTGATTCAACATAGCCAAGAGAAAGTACGCATGCGCTGAAGCGGCGCAGCATATGAAGAAAAAATTAACATGTTGTACTTGTACCTGTAGGCCTATAATAATGACCTAGATCTAAGTATTATTGTATAGAGTCTCTAGGTCTAGTCTAGACTACAACATGTTATTCATATGCTGCGTCGCTACCGCGCATCTGTACTTTCTCTTTGCTATGTTGAATCGACGATATATAGATCTAGACCACTCCAGCAAAGCATAGAGAGTCAATGCTAGTGCGTATTGACCTCTAGCACTGCATACATGCTGAGAGGCGGGTATTATTATACCCATACACAAATACACACACCACACAATATCGCATAGACTCTACACAATCATGTCGATGCAGCTGTAAGCAAAGTTTGACACTAGGTCTAGACTTACAATTTGAATTATTCTTTTTAACATCAGTAAGTTAAAAAAAATGTATTTTACTGCTATTAAGGTGTCATCAATTGTCACTAAAGTACCGATTTTGAGTGAAATCGGTTGAGTTTTGTACAGTGGTGTTTGAAATGTTGAGAATCAAAAGCACAGCTTTTACTACACAGCCAGGATAGTGATGCTCCTATGTGTGATCTAGACCTAGGTCTACATTACTACAGTCTACATCATACATGTACATGAATGAATCGGTTTAGGACAAGCTTAAGCCACAACACAAGGAATCACCATTTTTTGGTTTTTCCCATCGAAGACATCTTCAAATTATATTTTCAAATGGTTGAACGGATGCCCAGAGAAGTAAAAAAAAAACATTGTACGTCTAAATTTTAATAACTACTTTTTAGATTTCATAAAAAAAGGACCAAACCCGCGGTTTGAATTGTTTCCCAGTTTAGACTCTGCTCTGGAGCTCCGCGGCTCCAACGCAACGCCTAGGCGGCAGGCGGCGAAGCTCCCTGGACAGGCTGGAGTTTAGGCCTAGGCTCCTAGTAGTATTTTAGATCTAGATCTAAGTCTTGTTGAACAAATCTTGTTGAGTTCATGTTCTTGCCCATTGCGACTTAAGAAAGTGCAGTACATATCTCTGATGCCCGATGTTATCTTTAAAATATTTTTTGGTAGATTTCTATTTATTAGATTAGCTTCTATATAGATCTCTAGGTCTATACTTACAGAAACAACAATTTCGCCACCCGTTTTTCGATCTTGCACCACTCACTGATTGAATTTCGCGCTACATATATTGTGTCGTCAAAACGTCTAAATGAAAAGGAAAAACGTTCTTTGTTTTTTTTATTTTTTATTTTAGGGGGGCTAGCCCCCCCCCCCCCCCCCCCCCTGTTTGACACGTGGGAGGGAGAAAGGAGCCCCTCCTCCAGTAATCCAGTGCCCATATCCCTATCAACACCCACCGAAATAATATAGGCAATAGAAGGTAGCCCCTTCTCTGGAGTAGGAAGATACATGGACATTATGCAATATGCTTATACTCTTCCCATCCTAGTAATTGCACTTAATTGAATTACCAATTAACGTGTGCAGGCTCATAAGGATCTCAAAATAAGAAAAACATGTGATAACTCTGCCCTTTCTAAAGTTATAAAACAACCTGAAACAAATAAAGAGAAATGTCAACCCATTTTTACTATGCACCGTCGAATGAGGTTTATATAAAAAATGTTATGACTGAATTTATAATATCATATGTAATTTTGCCTGATAAATCATTAACGATTCGCGAACATACGTTTGTTATTTATGACAAAGAGATTAATCATTATCTGTCTTTTTTTTTTCAATTGCCTTTTGATCTCGGAGGGCGTTTCATCAATTGTTATTTTTCTTAGTACAGTTTTTTTGTTTGCCCTTGACGATCCCTAGGGCCCCTGTCATGCTTGTAGATCGTGACAAAAAAAAATGTCCGCTTTATTTTGTCGTACTAGGCCAACACGTTCCAAGGCATGTAAATAGTGAACGAAAATGGATGATGATATTTTTGGAACTGAGAGAGAGAGAGAGAGAGAGAGAGAAGAGAGACGAAGTGTTTCCCCCAAACAGGTCATTAGATAACACAATTTGAAACAAAAATTCTCTCTTTTTCTTCTTCTTCTTTTTTTTTTTTTTATGTTGGGGGGGGGGGGGGGGGGGGGGGGGTCAAGGGGGGTGGTCATAGAGGCGGTATACATAGTTATGGTTCCATCGCCGTTTCCGTATTATTTCTCCGTAGCTTTGTCAGGACAGTCCTCTCAAATTCTAGATTGGGTTATTTTTGATTGTCCATTGTGCACTCTCTAAATTGTTTATTTGGTGTTGCAGGCCGTATATTGGTTCTTAAAAAATATATCAATAGGAAACAAAGGTAGCATCTATATGTGTTGTTCCTTCTTCAGCGTCACCTGAAGGTAGTTCGAGGAGGTAAGATAGAATACATTTTTATAACAGTGTTTTATTATAAATCTAAAATAAGGCTAAAAACTAGCTCCTGACGATCAAAATTGATCTGAAAGTGCGGAATAAGCCTCCTTTTTTGTAAATGCGATGACAAGAATAATTTCAGTGACGAACCAAAGTGGAAGAAACCAAGGACATTTAAATAAAATCTTATGAGATACACTATGAATCGAAAGCTTTTTCAAAATCATTCATGAACAAAATGCCTGCTATAATCATGATGTTTGGTGTATATATAGTATCCAGGGGCGTTGCTAGAGGGGGGGGGGGGGGGTGGGGTGCGACACCCCTCCTCCTGTCAGGATATATTGTCGGTAAAATTGCGCTGCCGTCGGTAAAAATGAGAAAAGGGGGAGGGAAAAAATGAAAGGGAAGAAAAGAAAGAAGAAAAAAGGGAAAAGAAAGGTGGGTGGTGTCGTCTCGTCGATGGAGCAAGAAAGATACGTATATAATTATATGGGCTGTGTGTCGGGTCAGCGGTGTCGGTATTCTTGCTCGATCCTCGTGTACTATATCAATGCTGAAGTCGGTGAGATGTATATTGTCGGTCGGCCGACAAGTTTTTTTTCCTACGAACTGTGACTTTTTATCCGCTGTGACGACTTCGAGAGTCACCACAACTACAATACTTGTATTTTAACATTTTCGGGGAAACTAAATTCAAACAAGGTTTAAGAGTTAACAACGGTACGACGAATCGCCTTCCTTTTTCTATATTGTGATGAAACGCCAAAAAAATCAGCGCTTCGCGCGGAAGGGGAAAACTTAATTTAGACGAGTCGAGAACGGTACAACGTATCGTCTTCTTTCTCTAATAATTTAAGGAAACGTCAAAGCTTCCGCGCTTCGCGGGAAAGGGAGAAACTGAATTCAGACAAGGATTAACAGTCGAGAATGGTACAATAAATCGTTTCCTTTTCCTAATAATTTAAGGAAACGTCAAAGCTTTCGCGGTTTCGCGCGGGAGCCTCATTCAGACAAGGATTAAAAGTCGAGCACGGTACAGCAAATCGTCTTCTTTTTATAATAATTTGATGAAACGTCTAAGCTTTCGCGCTTGGCGCGGGAGGGGGGGGGGAAATTCATTCAGACAAGGATTAACAGTCGAGAATGGTACAATAAATCGTTTTCTTTTCCTAATAATTTAAGGAAACGTCTAAGCTTCCGCGCTTCGCGCGCGGGGGGGGGGGGGGGTCTATCACTCACACCCCCTAATGAGCGCGCTTGGCGCGCTCTTTAAGTGATTTGCTTGCTCACTACCACCACTCCCTAAATAAAATCCTAGCTCCGCGCCTGCATTAAAATATATAGCTATGATGCTGACTAAGTTGACGAAATAATTCGTATATTTATGTCGTCGAGGAAAATGACCATTTCCCAGGTCGAAATTCCTTTAGAAACCAGTAGAAACCAGTAGAGACATTCTAATGGTTTTACTGGTTTTCAAGAAACCATTAGAGTCTAATGGTGATCAGGAGGAACTGTGAAGTAAAACCAGTATAAACCTTTACAAACCAGTAGACTGTCATGGTTTAAAGACCAGTAGAAACCCATATGGAAAACTTTTAGCCCTAAACGCGCATAAAAGAATACAGCACTAAACAACCGCTTTAACGAAGAGAGCGCGCTCAAGTGCACTCTTGCGTGAAAGTACACTGATCGGACTAGTTCAATGCGACAAAGCAGGGGTGCGAGCGCTTGCTCTCGTTGACTACTTACTAACACTAACAAACTAGAATTAGAAATGAAACTCACCTATAGTTAAATAAATGCAAAATTACGGTAGACTACACCAGCAGAGGCTTGCCATTACACCGTAGACGAAATCGAACTCATTCCCTTTGCCAATGATTATACTGACTTCCCTCTAGTTGGAGTGCAATGACCCATTCGGGTGCGCATGTATAGACATGATGCGCGTAATGCGGTCTCCGAGATTTTGAGCGCAACGCACACACTCTGTACGCACTGCGTTAAATACACACACTGATGACCTCTACAGCGATTGCACGGAAGCTATAACTGTGCATTGTTTGTACGGTACGGGCGCACTCGTTGTGAGTAGCTATAGCG